TGTATTCAGCATTGATGGGTATGCTATCCTGTGTAATACCAGGTTTGAAAGAAAATCTCCAAGCCGATAAGAAGGTAATATGGTTAATATATGTGTAAAACTTGGGCACTGTGGTATTAAGTGATTCCATATTAGTTTGTTTATTAGACATATCACACAGCGAAGCAGTATTATTTACTGGATGACGTTTCGAACAAAGCGATAGTGATAATAACGATAACAATAATAATAGTAATAATAATAATAATGACGACATGCATGTCAAATATGCGCAAGGCAACACCAACAATAAGGAATCTAAATCATCAGTAATAATTCCATACAAGGAAGGAACCTCGGAAGCACTACGCAGAATTCTTAACAAGGCAGGAACAAAAGTGGCCGGCATTCAAACCCCTCACAAACTCATTCAGAAACAAGCTCTGTTGGCTAAAGGATCCTGTGGAGTCTTTAAAACAAAACAATTTAGTTTATCTAATACCCTACATGCAGTGATTGTCAGGTCAGATTAGTAGAACAGAGGCAGATAGACTAGCCGAGCATAAAATCCTAGGTAAATCTTGATTGGCTGGCCCGAATAAGATAGGAAATGTAGAGAATAGTTCAGCTATAGCACCTACTACATGCAGTTACACAACCATACAATAGGATGGGATAGGATGACAGTTTTAAAATCTAATGTCACAGTAGAGTAGAAGGGGAGATTGATAACAGAAGCTTTGCTTATCGAGTCAACTGCAAATACGTGTAATAGGAATGATTCAACACCTGTCCACCCGGATATCTGGAAAATCCCACTACCCCAACGACGACAAATAGGAGACAAAGAAAACTATAAAACTCAAGTTTCGATGTCGTGTGATTACAATTGATATGATTATGAACAATAAATTTTGTTCGAAACTTTGTCATCCAGTAAATAATACTGTTTCACTGTGTGATACATCTAATAAACAAACTAATATGGAAGGTAATATGGTCACTAATATTTGCTCATCTCCTGTGTGTGTTTACGCTTTCTTTATTCTTTGCGTTCTGAGTTGAACATCGGGTTTCAAACTTTAAAGTTTCAGTTGCCTTGGTGTTGGTTTTTTAAGAGTAGGGTTGTTAGCCTCACATTCAGTCTTCTTTCCTTCCGGGGTAAGGTTGAGGATTGCGTGGGCTAGGAGTTGAACCTGAACCTTACGCATGGCTGGCAGGTAGCCTGTCATTAAACCGCAGATGAACATGTACTAATGTGGGAATTTGGAATCGTTACTTGATTTATGAAACTTTGGTGCGTTAGCAACGCGTGTATGAAAGTATTCATCGTGAGTGAAACCTTTGACGTCTTTTCAGTGATGTCACATGTGGCGGTAGAATAAAAAAACATGCTCCTTTAGTCTCCCTCTTTTATTTTGACTGCGATCTCGGGCACGCATACAGAAGGTTCGTGTGGCATTTGCCAGTTTACGCCATCTCAGGAATAGAAGTGATATCCGGCTGGCTATCGACCAAAGGGCGTGTGTACTACTCAGCGGTTCGCTCCGTTCTCCTTTATGACTGGCTGTGAGACCTGTCCATTGAAAGTGGGAGACATGAAAAGCTTGGTTGGCTAGCTGTCTCTGATCATAGGTGCCTGCGTTCTAACCACCGTGTTAAGTGGTGGTGAGTAATATTGAGGTTGAGCATCCGTCAAGTGCTACTTAAGGAGGGGAAACCAATCGACGAGGTTGTGAAGATACATCGACTGAGATGGTTAGGACATATGTTACGCATGCACACCGAGCCATCGCCTTCCTTGATCGATGGGCAATGTTAGCTGACACAGGATCAGGTTGGAAAAGAGCTAGCGGTGGTCAAACAAAAACATGGCACCAGTCAATGAAATCTACAACAGTAAGTCTAGGCCACGTAGGAAGATGTAGACTCCTTGACTGGTTTTGGGTGGCTGGAAACAATTGGTGACATGGCTCAAAATCGTTCTCAATGGCGCAGATGCATCCACTCCTTGTGACTCATGATCTCCAATGAAACTTTTGTTCTTCATTATTACTATACTTTTGTCTCACACCTCTGTTTACTGTCTTTAGTATGCATTTCTCCTACTTCCTTCACTTGCTTTGTGTGCTACATGGAGGGAGTGTGGCGACTTGAACTGCTGCACATCGGTGCAAAGTTCTATGTCGAAAACAGACAGAAACCAAAATACGGAATCAGTTCATGAAGTTTTTAACAGTTAGTTTGAGCCAACTATGTATGGAGGTGTAGGCTGTGTGGCTGGTTGATGTGGGGTCCTCAGGACTCTAAGAACCAATGACTGGGATGAATTGCTAGAGCCTCCGCCATACACAAAAGCCGAAACCTGACGCCCTTTGTACCATTTGGCTTCACTTTGTAGATGATCTTGAAAGACGATTCTGGTGGAGCTACGTGGCCTGAGTTCACCAATGTGTGTTTATAAATTCACTTGCTCGTGTGGAGCTAGTTATATTGGCCGCACAAAGCGCACGCTTTCCAAACGCATCTCTGAGCATTATCCGGCATGGTTAGCAAAGGGACAATGTAAGACAATTAATAGCTCAATTCTCGAACATTTGGTGAACTCAGGCCACGTAGCTCCACCAGAATCGTCTTTCAAGATCATCTACAAAGTGAAGCCAAATGGTACAAAGGGCGTCAGGTTTCGGCTTTTGTGTATGGCGGAGGCTCTAGCAATTCATCAATACAACCCTGAACTCTGTATACAGAAAAAGTTTGTCCAGTCTCTTATTCTACCTTGGTCTTAACCTCTTCACTAATCGTTCCTTGTAAATAAAAAAAATTTTTTTATTTTTTCTTTTCATTGTAATTTCACTTTTAGTTAGCTTTTGCTTTAATAATTAATTCACTATTATCACTCTCATATGCTCCTTTTGTATATTTTCACACCCTCTTCACACTTGTTAAATTGACACTCAAATACCTTTATTCTCACTTAATAGCAATTTTAACCTTATCAAATTTCTATCTTTTTGCCGTTGAGTACCACGTAATTTTCAACTTCTAATTTTCACTTCTAAAGCCACTTCTGAGTAATTATATCAATTATGTCACCCCCTATTACTCAATAATAGACCACTATATATTTTTGTAAGTATAAATACGATTGTACAGCCTCTGAAGATGATTTCGTCGATAAAGCAAATTTTCTTCGCTGAATCTGTCTTTTATTTACATCAGACACATTACGAAACAACCTTTTTCCACATTCTTCCAAAGCTAACTTCATTAAAAAAAATATGCTGATGATCTAACCATTTTCTGTCCCAGTAGTTTCTGCATTCGATTGTTCTTATGTGATGAATAAATTTTTATGTCGACATCAGTTTCTCTTCAAATCTCTGTTGATCGTCTCATATGATTGTTGATACCTAAGAAGATTTTTCGTTTGACATATTACACAATAAGGAAGTTGATACTTTCTGGCATTATAATTCAACCTCTTCTCTTAAAATTTATTAATTCATGTATTCTGCTCATTCTTCTTTATTGCTCCGCCCTATTCTTCTCTGGATTTCTCAAAAAAGGCTATGTCGTGTTATGTAGTACACTGAAGGCTGCAGGTAGGCAGGGTTAGTGGTGTGTATGCCTAACTGACATTATTGTCAATAGGCACTTCAATTCCTGCAAGCAGTTGGCTAAGGCTATCTTGTCTAACTCTGAACACTCGCTTTAATATTCGCAACCTTTTCCTTGTATATCTTCAATGGGGATAAAACCAGAATAAATTTCACGAGAATTTATACTCGTGCAGCTAGTCAGTGTAAAAATTCTCCGATACCACCATATTCACCACGAGTTTTCTGTAAAGAGTTAGTTGTCAGATGTCAGAAAAGAAAGTTATGTGAGTTGTGCCTTGATATGATTATGAGTAGTAATAAATTGTGCTCGAAACGTGGTCATCAGTAACAACACTGTGATTTTACCAAAATAGAATTTTATGCATAATGTCAGAAAAGAACTTAAATCAGTAACTGAACTGCAACGTACAGCGAAGATGATTATTGCATGTGTTATCTATGATACTATGTACTTATGCTTCATTATGTTCCCACCAGAAGACAGGACTCCAGGTGAATATAGGGGAAGCAGAGGTAATGAAGATAACCAACCAACAGCATCAGCAACAATAACCAGCACCAATCGCCATCAACAGAAATAATTTGAAAGAGGTTACTTCCTTCACTTATCTGGCCAGGAAGCACGGTTTCAACCACAGGCGGAACGGAACGGATGAACATGTCAAAGCCGGCCAGAATCGGAAAGGCAAGGTGTTCCCTCATCAACTTGAAGGCAGTTTGGAAATTTTCTCCTTTTACTCAGCATAAGGAACAAGATTCGGATTTTTAACACCAATGTCAAGTCGGTCCTTCTATACGGGTTGGGAACTCGGCCAGCGTATCACAAAAAGCATTTTCAACACGCTGTCGCAGACTTTTAGCAACAGCTGCCTTCGCTGGCTCCATACTGAAGATCAAATGGGCAGACCACCGGAAAGAATTAGCAGCAAGAAACTCTGGCTGTGAACAAACCAGCCAACAGCCGATTGCTCAATACATATGCAGGAGGGAATGGAGACGGATCGGTCATACGTCGAGGAGGTCGTTGGGTGACATCGCGCACCAGCCAGGGTATTGTCCGAGTGGAATTCCAATGAGAAGTGACGCGTGGGTCGTCGGTACGAGGGTGACACGGAGGAGATCGTGTAGTGAGGAGGAGAGTAGAAAATAGAGCAAAGTGGAGATGTGTCTTTGAAGCTTTATGCTCCATTTGGAACCTAAGGGAATAATAATATTATTATAATAATGTTTCTGTTTATAGTGGTTTTATTATTCATATTATTATTATTAGTAGTATTTTAAGATTTATGTATCTTACATATTTATCAAAGGAGTTAAATTGTTGCAATATGTATAAAAACTCTGCGTAGTCCATTTTGTATAATTGTTACTGTTTGGGATGAAGTGGTTATAATGTAGAAATAACTAAGAAGTTCATCAGCGATCCAACAGTACAAATTAAGATTAAATGTTCACAAGCCACGTTTCATTCCCCTCTTTACCATGATTATAATAAATAACTTTAAGATAAATTCCTATATACTGACGAGTAAATACTGTTCCACTTTTTCATTTCCACCTGATGATTTAATCACAATTATTTTAGGAAAGATCTGATCATCAATTGGTTATCTGCTATCTTCGTGCAGTTGAATACCGATCAGTTCGTGCTCTTATCGGTTTATATCAACGTGAAACAAATCAAGAAATACGCGCCAAATTGCTCAGATGTATTGGAATATGTTGTTCTTTAGATTCTGCTTGTATTCATATCTGTCTTGAATCAGTTCTTCCTAATGAACTCATTCGAGAAATACGATGCACAACACAACAGGGTAAGCAGTTCTATTGATTGTACTTTTCTTCTTTTGCTTTCTTTTGTTTTTTTTTTTACCTTAAATTATAATTCTCAATAGTGTTTCGTCTTGGGTTTCCAGTGGAACATAGCGCTTCAACATCACGTCTCCACTTGGTTATATTTTCCACTGTCCTCATTAGCTGGGCACGTATTTCCCGTAATCTCCTAACTACCATCTCCAATTCTGTATTGCTATCATTACCAATTTCTATGATATTCCGATTTCAGTGTTATTTTCATTGGACACTAGTAACTAGTGTGACGTGTCTAGTCCTTTCCTTGGTGCAGACTGAATTCTATCAGTCAGTCAGGTTTGCAATGTGGCCACCATTCTAGGTAGCTCACCATCACGCTGCACATTGATTTGATGATATTAGATAGTTGGAGGCAATCGACAGGAAGCCTTGGACCTAGGTTTCGTGTTAGTTGGCACTCACCTGTCAGCCAGCAAGGCGTATCTGCATCCTTGAAGGAACTCATGTCCCTTCTGAGATTCGAACCCGCGTCACCCAGTGCTGCAGTCAGAGACGTTACCACTGGGCTATTCAGGTTCGCGATTGACCTCCTGCTGATTGCCTCCAACTATCTGACATAGTGTTATGTTATGTTGATGCATATTATCATGCTTACAGATTGTGTTGAACTGTGTTGAACCGCGCTCGTGTGTGCTTACGACTGAACGGACGTAGGAAACAGCTGGCGGTAAACCCATCACGTCCCCAGCTCGACCAGGGAACTAAGTCCCTATTTGAGGAAGAACTAGCTAAACACATATCTGAGTTCGACAGCTGCGCTCACCCTGAAGAAGCCTGGAAGAATATTCAGTCAGCCATTGATACAGCTGTAAAAGCTGTGAATAAGGTAAATCCAAAGGTGTGTAAAAACCATTGGATTTCGACTGCCTCATCCGAACTGATAGATGCTAGAAGACTTATTCCGGCGAGCTCCGAATTCAATGAGGAGCGAAAGCTGCACAAAAAGAAACTTACGAAAAGTCTCCGCTAGGACCGTGAACAGTGGTGGTTGACAAAGGCGAAAGAGATGGAAAAAGCATCGGCGATAGGCAACACCAGACAACTATTCAGGCTTATCAGAGAAACAGGTGGTAAAAGGCAAATGATAAGCGAAACAATCTCCGAGAAAAATGGCACCATAATTAGCTCCCAGGATAGACGTCTGGAGCGCTGGAAAGAACACTATGAGGAGCAGTTTAATTGGCCCACAGCCACACTTAACCTGCCGGACATCCAACACCTCCCTGAATGGGATATAGACACAGGTCCTCCGTCCTTAATTGAGGTTACTAAAGCTGTCACTAATCTGAAGCAAGGCAAAGCAGCGGGACCTGATTTATTGACTCCAGAGGTATTTAAGTACGGAGGAGACAGTTTACTGTCTGCGTTAACGGAGGTCCTAGGCAGCGTCTGGGAATCAGAGGAAGTCCCATCGGGTTGGTGTAAGTCACTGATCATCCCGATATACAAGAAGGGGGACAAGTCGTCTTGTGATAATCACAGAGGGATTAGCTTGACTAATATAGTATCTAAAATCCTAGGCTCAATAATACTGCGTAGACTAAGTGGCGCTCGGGAGACACAAACACGAGAAAACCAGGCAGGTTTTAGGCCAGGTAGAGGGTGTATTGATCACATCTTCACCCTTCGACAGATTCTAGAACATAGGCATTCCTACCGGCGTCCGACAATCATTATATTTCTTGACCTAAAGGCGGCATTCGATTCTGTCGACCGAGAGGTTCTCTGGCGATGCTTGGCTGTAAAGGGAATGCCAAGAAAATACATTGCACTGATTAAGGCACTCTACTCGTACTCATGCAGCCAGGTGAGGGCTTATGGCGAGTTGTCATCTGAAGTGGTGACGACTAGTGGCGTCCGTCAAGGATGCCCATTATCCCCATTCCTATTCAATTTCATCATAGACGTACTAATGGACTTAACCTTATCACACTTCAGCGACTCAGGGATTGACTTGCTACCAGGGAATAATCTCGTTGACTTAGAATATGCAGACGATATAGTCCTTCTAGGCGAGGACTCTGACAAAATGCAGAGTCTACTGAACACCCTGAGCAACAATCTCCGTATGTTTGGCATGCGATTCGCCCCTGTAAAATGTAAGATGATGCTGCAGGATTGGACTTCATCGACCCCTAGATTAGAAATAGGAAGTGAAGTGGTAGAACACGTTGACCGCTTCAATTACTTGGGAAGTACCATCAGCCCCAACGGGTTGATCTCAGACGAAATTTCAGCACGAATACAGAGGGCTAGGTTCGCATTCGCCAGTTTTCGCCGTCTCTGGCGTAGACGCGATATCCGACTATCGACCAAAGGGCGTGTGTCCTGCTCAACAGTCCGCTCCGTCCTCCTTTATGGCTGTGAGACCTGGCCATTGAGAGAGGAAGACATGAAAAGATTAGCTGTCTTTGATCATAGGTGTCTGCGTTCTATCTCCCGTGTGAAGTGGTATAATAAGGTGAGCAATATTGAGGTTAGGCGTCGAGTGCTAGGTAAGGCGGGGAAATCAATCGACGAAACGGTGAAAATACATCGACTGAGATGGTTAGGACATGTGCTACGTATGCCTAGTCATCGCCTTCCTCGACGGGCAATGTTAGCTGATATAGAGCCAGGCTGGAAAAGAGCTAGTGGCGGTCAAACGAAAACATGGCACCAATCAATGAAATCCACAACAGTTAATCTAAGCCACGTAGGGAGATGTAGACTTCCTGGTTGGGGTCCTCGGGACAGTAAAAACCAATGGTTGGAAACAATTGGTGACATGGCTCAAAATCGTTCTCAGTGGCGCAGATGCATCCACTCCTCATGACTTCCAATGAAACTGTTTTGTTCTCCGTTATTACTATACCTTTGTTTCACACCTCTGTTTACTGTCTATATTATGCATTTCTTCTACTTTCTTCATTTGTTCTGCGTGCTACATGGAGTGTGGCGACTTGAACTGCCGCACATATGTGCAAAGTTCTATGTCGAAAACCGACCGACCGACCGTTGAACTGCTATTGAGCCAGTTACATAGGTTGTACAATTAGGCGCGTTTCTCGTTGGATTTCCGAACATCACTCTGCATGGTTGGTTAAGTTAAGGACAAACAAAAACTCTATTCGTAGTGCTATTCTATCTCATCTTGTGGATACAGAACACAAGATTGATATCAATGAGGCGGCGCCCAAAAGTCATTTATTGCATACCAACAAATCTTAACTTCACCTAAAGAGTTCGTTTACTAAATGTTGCTGAGGCTGGCCGTTGGGATCCACATTAACAAGCCTTATTTATGTGTCCAAGGGTAGCTAGTTCAGACACTGTCCCTACCCTAGTCATCTAGGTTCGAATGGTCCTTAATTTATCATTGTAGAGATTTGTTTAATTTTAGTTGATATTCTATTTGCCATTATATTTATATTGTTATTATTATAATTTAAGCATCTTTAATGAACTGTGATAATTCCATTGTGATCTTACTTTAAAAATCGATGGTATTTAAAAGACACACCAATAATGTTATTGACTGCTATTCTAGAATATTTTATGTATATGAGCATATATATATGATTGTAGATCCAGAATAGGAGATTGTTGGAAAGGATATTCTTTGCTCAATTATTTTGTGTTTTACAGATGTCTGAATAAATATTTTCGCTGTAATAAATGTGTTTGTTTGTTAATCACTGACTCATCTGACTACTGACCAGGCTTCTAGAAATTCCCAGACTGCATTTTTCGTGTCTTTCCTCTGTTTGAAATTCCTTCATTATCCCAATCGCCTATTCGTGTCCATAATTATCGACATACATCGATATGAAACAGGAATACGTATCGTGTGCTCCTTTTCACACATTGACAAGAAAGTTCAAATTCCAAGTCAATGAAAATAAATGATCAATAGACAGACATGTAAATTAACAATTAATAATGACGACAATGGTTGTTGTCAGGAGATACAATTATATTGTCATTCATTCATGTAGGGAGAATACAAATGAGTTCATTTCATACTGTAATCTGTGCTGAAACGATGTTGTCTAAAGGGAGGATAACAAAAGCTACACAATTAAATCAGCCAGCTTCTCTCACAGAATAGAACTAAATCAAAAAAAAGAACAATATGTGTTTATCGATGTAATCAACTTGTGACTGTGTGTTGGTGGCACAGCGGTAGAGTGCTCGCCAACCACACATATTTGGTCCGGGGGTTCGATCCCCGACCGATGCACTCCTCCCTTACCTCGCTAAACCAGTAATAAGACTGGTAAAGAGGGAAGTTTGGGCATGAGGCCAGCAGCAACCCCATTCCTTAAAAAATTAACTTTTGCAAATCGATATTATTTAAAAAAAAACACTAATATTGTTATAAACTACTAATTTAAAATATTCTTTGTGTATAAACATATATATATATAATTGTAGAGCTTGGATGAGGAATTTATCGAAAAGAATATTCTTTGCTCGATTATTTTGTGTTTTATAGATGTCTGAATGAATATTTTTGCTATAATCAATTTTACTCATGTATATAACTAAAGCAAGAAAGCTGTGTGAGTAGTGACTTGATATAATTATGAGCAGCAATAATTTGTGCTTGACACATTGTCATCAGTAAATATTACTGTACAACAACACTGTGTGATTTTATCAAAATGAAGTTTTATCCATAGTGGAGTTGTACTCTACCACAGTGTCCAAGTTTTATACTTATGATACCCAGTTTACATAAAAATCTTTGAATGATTTCTGTACTTTAATTTCGTTCTTTTTACATTTTTTTTGTAATTTTAGAAATTCCACAACTTGCTTTAAGATTACGATTTTTGTCCATATTGATCGCTCGTTCACCAAGTCTTCCTGTGGATTTATATAGTAAGGATAACCTTTCTTTTCTGCTTGTTCAATTTTTTTGAAAACTATGTGCAAGTATTGGTTTGCAGGGATTTGATTGGTTACAGGATTTCATAGTGATCTGACATCGGTTGGAGAACCAGCAGGTCAGGTGTGAGGAGAAATACTCATTCGCCAACAATGACATTAGCTAATTCCCAGTCGCTCCAAATTAATCACGAATTGGTAGAGATTAGAATTTATGATCTGCCCATTGGATCAAGCCTAAGTGGCCGAGTGGTCTACAAGCTCGCCTTGCCTTGTAACCGGGAAGGTCGTTGGTTCTAACCGTGGTGGGTGTTGTTGTACTCATGAAGAGACCGCCTAACTGGGACAATAGAAACAGCTGTCTAGTAGCACTCCCTGGTGGTTTTCCAATGGTTCTCTGACCGATATCAGTTCATGGCGTGATTTCCATTTTACTTATATCCAGGAAAACCCGTGTCTGTTTGTTGACCTTCTTTGTAGGCTGCCTACTTGGGGGTTCCCTGTGATACCTAGAGACTGTTGGTGATAGATATACCTCAAAGTCTTTCAGTAGCTGAGATGTATTCAGTGTCTCTGTGATATCTTCCATGGTCACTAAATCGTCATGGCTTTACATGTTGATATTTTCTTTTCCTCACACTTATAGCTCACTACAATACCTTCCTCCTTCTGTGTGTACTATATGAACTTGGTGCACTTCTGTGCGAAGTTCTACAACGGAAAACTCAGCGAAGCCTTTGAAAAGAAGACGGGAGTAAGATAAGGCGGCTGGCTACTATCCTTGATGATATTCCATGTTTGTGATGGACTGGAGGGAGCAATAAGATTTCGCATCAGTTGGATTGACGTGAAGAGTAGAACATCTGGACTTCACTGACTGAAACTCGAAGATATACAGGTGAAAAGCAACAAGTTTTCAGAAGAGGCGGGTAGTGTATACAGGACTTCAAGCCAATATAGAGAAGACAGAGGTAGTGAAGATAAGCAACCAACAACAGCAAGCAGCAAACACCAATGAGTATTGACGGAGGAGATTTCAAAGAGCTCACTTCCTCCAATTATCTAGCCAACATACTTTCAACTACAGTGAGTTGGCACAAACGTGGAGGAAGTCCAAAACCAGTCAGTATTGGAAAGTTAAGACAGACTTTTATCGCTCTAAAATCTCCTGCACTCAGCACAAAAAACAGGATTTGGATCTTTAATGCCAGTGTTGAGTCAGTTCTTCTATGTGGGTCAGAAACTTGCAATGTGCGACACAAAAAACATTTCTGACCGACTGCTGCAGACATTTATCAACAGCTGCTCACTTCGCTGGCTCCATACTAAAGATCAAATGGGCAACCAAAAAGGATCAACAACAATAGATAGGCTCTGAGAGTAAATCAACCAGGCACCATTTGCTCAACAAATCTCCTGAAGTAAATGGAGATGGGTCGGACACTTACTGAGGAAACTGTTAGGTGACATCACGCTCCAGGCCATCATTCGAACGAAATCCGAATGGGGAGTGACAAGTAGGGTGATCAAAGGTGATGTAGACGAGATTGTATGATAAGTAGGAAATGAGAGTTGGTGCGCAGTCGTAGGCCCCGCTGAAGAAGACTACAGACGACTGGAGATATATGCTGTTGAAGCCGTATGCATCACTCGGAACCCAAAAAGATAATAATTAGTGGTGGGGTCGACGATATCGGGATTGGTCGCTAAAGCGAGAGTTACATCAGCCCAAATGGCGTGCTTGCTGATTAAATCTAAGCACAGATACATAATACTGGTTGGATATTTGCCGATCTGTATCGTATTTATTACAGACCTGATGTCCACCCAACCAGTATGTACCCTTCTAATTCACGGCCACGACATATGGCGGTTGAAGAAAGAGGATATGGTTTTTACTATAAGAGTCCCCCACACTTTCAATTTCATGATACCTAGGGTGACACAGTCAGTCAGTACTGTTGGGATTAAATTTAGGGTAGGACTAACGGTAGAAGGGCCTTCAAAAGGACTTTCAATGCAGCTAAGCTATGCTGCGTATTCACTAACCGACGAATACTTAGTTCAACAAAAAAAAGACAAACTGCCCTGTTTCGCCTCTTCCATGTGTGTTTACCAGTTTAACTGCTCGTGTGAAGCTAGTTACATTGAGCGTACGATCACTCAAGTTCACCATCAAATTTCTGAATACCTCCCATCTTGTCTATACAAAGGTCCGAATAAAGCTGCTATCCTCAGCACAATACACTA